AGTTTTCACAGTGTGACACAATTCTGTTCGAGACAATGAATAGATAAGAATATCAATATCAGCTGCAGTTAATTTACAAGAATAGTGCTGAAAAGTCTATTTGACATTTAAGAAAGTGTACAACCCTTGTCCTAACAGTCCTTTGTCCATCCACAAATCCTTACATCAGTTTCTCTTGAATCAACGATATATTTCATTGAATCAACAAAATATTCCATTGAATCAAGCGAATATTTCATTCAATCAACCAAATATTTCATTGGATTAACTGAATATGTGATTGCATCAATATCTTGTCATTATGAATCAAATAAAATGATTGTATGAGCCAATTCAATATCTCTTCATAAAAAATTCGTCTCGTGGGTGATGCCTCGCTCACAAACTAACTCACTTCTCTCAGAAAAGTTGGCGATCTGGCTCTATTTTATAGATATTTTCATGGACGATGCTCTTCTGGAATATCAACAATTGTTCCTCCCCTGGCAGTCCCCGCGAGATTAACCCGTCGAGTTGAGGCTTCGCAGCCCTTCGTGGTCACTTTGGAGACCTGCAGAACATTTCTTTCCAAAGACTAGTTCATCCAACGAACAGCGAGGCTCTGGAACACCTTGCCAAGGGAGGTGTTCCCCGAGGCATATAACCTCCAGAAATTTAAGAAGAACACCAATTCCTGCTTTATTTAACTTGGTTCTCACGATGTTATCTGAACATTAAAGGATATCCCTTTTCGTGGGAACCAGAACATGAAAAAAGAATTTGCTTGATTGGATAAGATCCAGAGTTCATGCAATATTTACTTGATTCAAACTTCAAATTCGCTTTGAAACAAGATATACAGGGTGGGCCACCAGTAACGTCTCGGTCTCTAGAAGGCTAACCACTTATCTTCTTGGAATTCTTCCTCTCTAGGAAGTTGCATGTCAACATAGGCTACCATTTAAAATTATTTCGAAACATACAGGGTGTCCCCAAAAACCATAAAACACTGAAGTTAAACTTTTTTTAATGGAACACCCTGTATGTTTCAAAATAATTTCAAATGGTAGCCTATGTTGACATGCAACTTCCTAGAGAGGAAGAATTCCAAGAAGATAAGTGGTTAGCCTTCTAGAGACCGAGGCGTTACTGGTGGCCCACCCTGTAGATTTACTCATTTCAAGATTATATTTTGTCGTGCATATATGGCACTAATATTTGCTTCAATTAAATTTTGCTTGATTCAACGATTGATTTTTTTCCGTGATGAGGGTCGATCGAGTGATACCTTAATAGTTATTTTTGTATCTAGACCGCGAAATGCTACTTTGGTAATCAAGATTTGATTTTTTTAACGAGGCGTAGCCGAGTTAAAAAACTAGTCGAGATGACCAAAGTATTTCGCGCTCGAGTTGCAAACGAAATTTTTTCTTCAAACGTCAAAAAACAGTTCTAGAGTAAAAATATGCTTAGCTTGATATAAAAAATAGTGTTGAACTGGCTTAGAAGGCCTCCCCTTATCCTCCCTAGGTACGTACGATGCTCAACAAACATAATAGGAATTTCCTTTCGTGCTCTCCTAGAGATAAAACAAAGTTATTGTTGAACATTCAGGAATAAATGATTTCGTGGATGTTTGCTCGATTGAGGACCATAAAGATGAATTATAATTATCTCATTTATTTTACATAACAATGCGCGAAGTAGGTACTTCGCGCACTGGTTTACTTCGCGCATTGTTTTTTGCAAGGTATCATGGTAACGTAGGAAACTGAAAAAAAGTATTACTTCGCAATTTGTTATCAATGCGCGAACCTTGTCATTTTTTGACGTTTGTAGAAAAAAATTGTTCTTATCCATAATTCGGTTGCCCCGAGCAATCCTCATTCGAAACGTCTTTCAGGCCACTATACGATATACAAAAAAATGTCGTATGGGACCACCCCGTATCATTATCCTCTCGTGTCCGACAGTGGCGTCATATTGAGGGCATAAAATCCGAGGCAGGATGATAGATTTCGGTATCCAATTGCCCGTGGACGGGACTCCCCGAAGTACGAATTTACAACCTATAAAATTTAATATCGAGCGCCTAATCCCGTAATGCGTTTCTTCGACGTCGGGACGTTAAATCAGTGGAGGACGCTATCCCACGCGGTCTAACTGTCAGGCTTCATTTTGTTGAAATATCACCCAATTTATAGTCTAGTTATAGAGAAAAATCCACATGAAAATATCTGGGGGGAAATATTGCTAATTGAAAATGACACTCCTATAATTTCGATAGTGAGTAATGCAGTGTCTGATGATGACATCCGAAAGTTGGTAGATCTGATACCAAAACAGACTCCTTTGCATAAGCTGACAATCAATTCACGGAATTCCCCTAAGACCTCTTAGTTTTGAGATTCTAGATTTCTCATGATTTGTCAGTGAGACAATAAACCACTTTGATATTTCCAGTTATCGCGATAGTCTGCAGCTCGGTCTGCAGATTTACGACATTTTGACTCTTTGTAGCACAGATGTAGGGATTTGCAATCGACTTATTCGCGAAATCTGGTTTTATATTACCTACTTATGCATCTTCCACTTTTGCCACTAGAGGGCTCTGAAGGCCGTCCTTCTCCCCTATTTGAGGTTGCTTTGAAGCATTATTAGAAGTTTCCTTGGTGAATCGATTGTCAGTGTGAGTCAGTGCAACTGATGGACTTGGCAAGACAAAACATGTCAGGCATCAGCTGAAAATCGAGATTTAGGGATTTCAGGTTTCTCCTCCAATAACTGATTATTATTTGCATAACACCCTGTAGAGTACAAGATCATATTTATCACCATCATTTCGGATACTTGGCTCATTATTCTTATAAAACTTCTGGAAACAACTGAACCCGTATTTGAAATCGACATTTTTATATCGAACTCTCTTATTATGAATACCTTGTGAAATGAAATAAAATGATAAAATCTGTCTTTAATTTTTTTTTTTGAAAAATTATATTATTTATTGTTATACTAAATATTACATTATACATTTTAAACGGCCCTCCCTCTATATCTCAGTTATTAGTCATGCGATTCCAACCAAATTTGGTGTGGTATGAATAACTATCAATATGATCAGTTTCACAGAGATGCACATTATTCTGGACAGTGCCGTGCGTTTCTATTGAACTAAAAAGGGGTCGATTTTTCATGAAATCGTAGGCATTTTTTACAGGAAATCTAACCTCATATTCTCAAGCTTTCGAACCTCCATATGCAAAAAATCACCTAATTCCGAATTAACAGGATTGGCTTAATTTTTTTCATTTTCAGTCTCGAATAAATAGTGACCTCAAATTAATTACGAGTTTTGGAACGTTCAATGGCTCTGGTAGGTGGAAAATCATGATTTAGAAGGAAAAACGAGTTATACTTTTTCATGTTGAACTCACCTTTCCCGAGTAAATAATTATTACGTTCGCAACATGCTGTTTAGATGTGCCCGTTTTTCTGAAACCCTTCATAGGCATCTTGAAAATGCCTTATATGATTTAATAAAAAACTGAACCCAATTCATTTCAATAAAAATGCACGGCACTGTCTAAAATGATGTTTGTCTCAGAAGAACTGGTCATATTGACGATTATCCATAGCGATACAAATTTGGTAAAGATCGCACGACTGATAGCTGAGATATAGAGAAGGGGCCGTTTGAAATGAGACACGCTGTATATCATTATTGAAATACATAACTAAAAATGCAATGGTAGGATTGTTGGTCTTCTTGCACATTAAAGAGCATATTATATGCATCACCACTCACAAGAGATTTCGGTAATTTATGTCTTTAATGATTTGAGGAAAAAAGTACAAATAGAAAGCTCTGCAAGTTTGAAGAATTCGTAACAAGCTCGGTAATCACTTTGTAACACTTCACATTTCGACAGATAAGAGAGATTCAACATCCAAAAATAATAAAGTTTTTCGATATCCCTTCCTACAATTATTTGTGTAGTTGTGTACTTTATGTATTCGTTTTATTTTAATATGTACAGGGTGTTTCACCAAAAACCCTCCCCCTCTAGCTCACTTATTTTTGAACCGATTCAAAAATATGAAAAATAATCTAAAATGATTTTTCAGAATTTTTTTTCCCGTTGCATTAGAAAATACAGGGTGCTCGGAACAAATGATCTACAGAGTACTACTTGATTTTTTCAAATGGAACACCCTGTATTTCATTATATTTTTAGTTTCTCCCTGAACAGCTGATTTCATCAATGCATCACACTTGGGGTCTAGCGGGAATGATTACAGAGATATAGGGTGTCCAAAATCGAGATTTTTCAAGTTTAGTATTTTTTTGTGTCGAAACTATTCATTATTGGTCAAAACGGCTTTAATGTCCCTATCTCAACTTTTGATTTACTATGTACTGACATTTAATTGGAATATATACGGTGTGGTTCAAGATTCAGAATTCTGATCGCCCTGTATCTGTTCCAATTATTAAATGTCAGTAGATAGTAAATCAAAAGTTAAGATACGATCAAGAAAGCCGTTTTGACCTATAATGAATAGTTTCGTCACAGAAAAATCCTAAAGTTGAAAAATCTCGATTTTGAACACCCTATATCTCTGTAATAATTTTCGCTAAACTCCAAGTGTGATACATTGATGAAATCAGCTCTCCAGTGAGAATATAAAAATACAATGAAAAATAGGGTGTTCCATTTAAAAAATCAAATAGTACCCTGTAGATCGTTTGTTCCCAGCACCTTGTATTTTCTGATGTAGCAGAAAAAAACTCTATCGAAAATCATTTAAGATGATTGTTAAAATTTTGCAATCGGTTCAAAAGTAACTGATCTAGAGGGGGGGCAATTATGGTGAATCACCCTGTACAATCATTGTATTTTGGTAAGAGTATTATCAATCTCCGAAGTTCGCCCTGAATTTCATTCAATCGATTTCAATGCCTACATCGAGATCTAAATATCGTTGATGAATCAAGAGGTTCATAGATAGTGACTCACCAACTTGACGGTGTTGCCGGCCCTCTTGAGGGCCTCCACGGCCGCCGCGTGCGGTACATCCACCACGGGCACATCGTTCACCGACAAAATTGAGTCGTTGACGCGCAGCCTGCCGTCCCCCGACGCCGCCCCGCCCGGAATCAGCTTGGTGATGTAGATGGCGGTGTCATCGCCGATGTGCGGGTTGTCCGTGCCGCCAGCTATGCTGAAGCCCAGGCCGGCGCCGCCGCGCTCGAGCACGATCTCCTCGTACTCCCATTCGTCGTCGCCGTTTACCTGGAAGGAGAGAAGAGACGCGTGGGTAAGTGGTGGGGGTCAGTCGAGTGGCGCGAGGCGCCGAGAGAGGTTCGGAGTATTCTGCCGTGCTAAGCACAAACTGACGTGGGAGGCGTTTGCCATTTTAGAATTTATATTCTGCAGGAATTTCGCATAAACACCTAATAATATAGTAGTTCGAAATAATATTCGGGAAATTTGCAACCGCTATCGAAAATACCGAGCTGAAGATTGAAAATGGTATATCTCGAATACCATATATTCGTACTTCCGTTCTCGCTCCGCTACGCGTCGAGAGACAACACAACCACGAGCTAAAATCAGTGGAGGGAGACAAAAAACCGAGAGCCAAAAACTGATATTTTTTTTCCTACCAAATTTTCTAAAATATAAACGGAATAGGGTAGGAAAGGGTATGAAATAACGAAATGGAAATATATATCAACTCCATTGATCTGGAAGGGAAAGTGGTAAGTAGCACTATGAAGACAATATGAAGTGATAAAACTTGTTTAAAGAACGATTTTTGCTTTTTACAAGTGATTATCAATAGCTCAACATCAAAATTATCTCAGATTAATGATTTGGTTGCCTAAAATATGGATTTTAGAATGACCAATTTAAATTGGACCGATACATCTGAAATGTTAATTGCTCACCTTCACCTCAAAATATGACGTTTCGGCACCATCTAGCGGTTTGTTATTATTGCCAATTTGTCCTAAATATTCATTGAGGATGGAGGACAGTGATTAATTCATGATGAGTTTCACTTTCTCAAATAGTTATTTCATTGTTTTTCTTTCTCCCTCTTCCATAACTTGACTGATGTTGAGATAGTTGAATTCTGGTGTACGGATATAGAGACATCGAATTACGATTACATTAGTAAATTCAGATTGATAATATATAACACTAGTTAATAACATTAAAAATACTACCTTGATAGTGAAATACCTGTTCACTGCTTGAAAAGGAGTAAGTGGTGGTAGGTTAAAGATCTAGTTGTGGAAAATAGTTATTTATACAACGAGCTGGTAAATAATATCATTATTTCCCATGAACTAATAATATATCTCGAGTAGGTATGGGAAAATTTATCGATTATATCGATATTATCGATAAGATCAATAATATCGTTAATTATCGATACAATTTTCGATGAACTTCGATGATTTTCGAAATATCCGTTGATTGTTAATTGTAATCGCCCACTCCTATAGTCCATTCCAACTAAACAGACAGCATTAAAGGTCATAGGAAAGCGCCGACCTTCGTTATCATTGGTTAATATATATATAATATTATGACTTGCGATGTGGCGTAACGTTCGAAGTTTTCTTAATAGGAAGATGTCCACATCATAAAGTTCCTATTATTTTTCGTACATTTATATTTCACCATCATTTTAGATTAGGCTTCATATATTTATTTTGTCAGCACGCTCAATGTTCCTTTTCGAATATTTGATGCAAAAAATATCGACAATATCGATAACTTCGATTACTTTGAGAATATAGATACACCGATAATATCGATACATTGTGATTATCGATAATCGATAATCCAAAATCACTATCGCCCACCCGTGATCCCGAGGCTTCAGCCGAGGGCTATAAGGTCCCGTGATAATAATATTCTTTACCACCGAGGTGTATATTCAATTATTTTCACCACTAGCAATATATTTCATCCATTATAGTTTTGTGAAACTGATTTATGGACGACAGCATATGACAAGTCGGTATTGATAAATACCTACTAGATTCGAGCAACAATTCGGGTTAATTATAACAGAGGTGGCTATGTCTTCATTGACTAGTAGTTCATAAAATGAGGAACACTAACTTGTGGAAAAAATACACTTTACGCCTTGAAAAACAGTAAATGATCCTAGTGGCGAAAAAATTCTTTAATATAATATGTTTGAAATGGACAACTCGGGCGAGGAAAAACCCGTTATATTTTGTTTATCTATTTCGCACATTTTACCATGAGTGTAAGGCTGAAGCAATTATCGAAAATATTATCGAGTGGTAACGTTATAGGTAAAGTAATTAACGTGCTAATCATACAAATACTTGCTACTTGTTGTCAGCATTTGAACTCGCATTTGAAATGTTAATTTGGCACTAACGAAATGTGGAAGAGGAACAATATCTTTTACCAAATATGTACAGAGCGAGAAAGTACTCTTTTGAATACCAAATATTCTCTATAAGAATACATTATTTTTCATACAGTGTGAACAAGAATGTATCCAGATTTGATAATTTTCAATAGGTCGGTGATTACGTATATTAACAACTTTATCATTACTGTCGTATAGGGTGGATCTAGAAATGGAAGTTTGGAACCTTTACGATAATAACATTTCACTATAATAAGAAAAACTACACCAATATTTGATTTTTTGCTCTCATTCTAACGCTTCCTGAGGGGAGGGGTAGGTACTAATGTCTCAAGGAGAGGTACTATCTCCAGTACTCCAATTATCTTCGCGCATAAATACACCTTCAAAGAAGATTTTTCATTATTGAAGCTTCTCAACACAACCTTTGCAGATTTCCCTTTAGCCCTCGGTTTAGCCCTTTATTTTTGACTCTGCATTCAATGCGAAACACGGCCGAATACAAAATGTAACAAAATGGCAAATAGTTGTTCTTCCCACCTATAGAACAGGGTTCCCAATTTATTTGGGCAATGGAACCCTAATTGATGAAAGTTTTTTTACTATAACCCTATCTCGATTATAATTGAAGTTAATTTATAACTATTTCATGTTTGCATGAGACCACTGATTACTTAATTTTCACAAAATAATCAGCATTCATTTTTGTTTTGCTTTCTGGAATAATTATTAATTATTAAATTGGTAAAAGAATGCTAAGTGGCATTCATAAATTCAATGTGCTCACTTTTTCTGTTCAATTTGAAGCGTCAGAATAAGAATGTTTGCATCAAAATTATTCAGAATTGAGGTCGGGATAATTGAGTGGTGATTGCAATACAATATAATTTTGTCATATTATATCATACACCTTCAAGCAAGATTTTTCATTATTAAAGCTTGTCAACACAACCTTTGCAGATTTCTATGTTTAGCCCTCGGTTTACCCCTTTATTTTTGACTCTGCATTCAATGCGAAACACGGCCGAATACAAAACGGAAAATATTTGTACTTCCCACCTAGAACAGGGCTCCCAATTTATTTTGGCTATGGAACCCTAACTGATGATAGTTTTTTTACTATAACCCTATCTCGATAATAATTGAAGTTGATTTATAACTATTTCATGTTCAAGACCACTAATTATCTAATTTTCACAAAACAGTCCATTTGTTGTTATCAACAATATTCAACATTCTTGAATTCGCATTTGAGAGTTCAACTGACTGACCAGAACGCAAAATAATCAGCATTCATTTTTGTTCTGCTTTCTGGAAGTTATGGAATAATTATTAATCATTATTGGTGAAAGAATGCTAAGTGGCATTCATAAATTCATGGTGCTCACTTTTTCTGTTCAATTTGAAGCGTCAGAGGAATGTTCTCATCAAAATCATTCAGAATTGAGCTCGGAATAATCGAGTGATTGCAATACAATATAATTTTTTCATATCCGAGGTCCCATCTTGACAACCACATATATTTAGTTCACAAACGGTACCATTGGCGGGTCTTACTAACAGAAGGCTAAAAATCGAGCTCTGGAGTGCTATCTCCGAGGCTATATCTGAACACGTCAGACGACATTCTCAGCAATTTCCCGTGGTCATTTCAAATCTGAATGGTACAATCACCGTCCCTTAATATTTGCACTATCAATTCAAGTTTAAATTATAGATAAATAACTCATTTTTGACGTTATTACTCTCAATACTCAATCACTCCATCGAGACTATACTATAGAAAAACATATTTCATAACAGAGAAGATATTTCAAAAATTCAAAATGCTGAGGAAGTTCAGGAAGTTCGGGAATAAGCGGTCTAGGTATGTATTTATGTCAGTAGATTGATAATACATCATTGACAGAGTCATTGATCTACAAAATTTCTAAGAAGATTCCGATGAGGTCAGCTTCAAAATACAAAATACCTACAACTAGACATATTATCAATTCTTCTTTCTTTCTATCTCCAATTTAGCCACGGGAGCAAGAAAAACATCAGTTTTAATACAATATGACAATGACTATCCTAACAGCTAGACTCACTCACCAACCTAAAATAAAACTGGCACACATGGTACCATATCGAAAGAAGAAAAAATTGAATGGCCTACCGCACGCTTGGAAGATCTGTTTTTAGTTTTCACCTCGCGACCCATCTAGGTTATATATCACTTCACGTAAATGAAACTCACACAACAACAGGAAACAGAACAATCGAAAATAAAAAAAAAACTAGGTACCTATCACAAGCCCGCTAACTAAACGTCCGCTCACCAAACGAATCGTTAAAACACTATTATTACCTATTTGGAGGTCGCGATTATTTTCGAGAAAAGTACATTTTCGAGTAGTTACTTTAGCTGTTCAGTTCCGATTGAGTTTTGGTGTGAACCCGAAGATGACGTAATACGAATGAAAATGCTAATAATTCATTTCCACCGCTTGCTGCTTTCAGAGCGATGCTATTTCTGTTTTACTATCGTTTCACGAGTTATATAGTGTGAACTGACAGTCTATCGAATCGTGCAATTTACTTGGTTTCGTTCGTATAGGATATTAATTATAGAAAATTCGCCAAGTCGGCTCCCAGCTGCAAGATGGCCAATCAGAAATCGAAAAAAAAGCTGAACTTCTTGATTGAAACTGTTATTGTTCAAAAGGCCCAAAACATAAAAGTGTGAATGAATAAGTGCGAGAAAACTCGGGAGGCGATTTCTTGACATATTCTTGGAAATAAAATTCATATCAACATGTGTCCTAACTTCCCACAGGATGTTGAAGTTGGGTGTATTAATCGTATTTTAGGATCCCTCTGTATGAGCTGTCATGCATGGTGCCAACATTCGGTCTTGTTGATTGATGACTGACAAATTCTCAAAATTTCAGAATAGTACTTATTGAGGTAGAATTGGGGTAACATTTATAAAACCTTTAGACGAGGGCGAGCCATTAGATATACAGGGTGTATCTAAATAACACCAAGAAAATTCGAGTTTTCTGAGTTTCATATTTTTATTAGATTGAACTATTGAAATAACAACTGTTTTATCCTCTGTGTGATTTTTGTATCTAGCTTAGTTTTTGAGGAAACAATAAAAATTCGATTTGACTCCAAATTTTAATGTAGGTGTTTTCAAGACTTCCATTGAGATTACTCAATAACCCCAATTAGAAATATTCTGAAATTTTGGGGCTTCCTCAGTCTCCATCCATACTGAATGATGGCACCATGAAAGCTTATACAGGAGGGTTATGAATAAAAACAATTAATACTTCCAAACTTCAACATCCTGTATCTCGAAAACGAAGCAAGTTAGGACACATGTTTATATGAACTTTATTTGCTTGAATGTCACAAGGAAACACCTCTTGAAATTTTTCGGTGTTATTTAAATACACCCTGTAGAGATAAATATACTTACAGGTTTGTCTCCAGATCCAAGAAGCGGCGAATGAGCCTGAAACCAAGAAAATAGAATCATATATAGGTACAGGCAGTAACAGATAATGATAATTACAGAACCAGACTTGAGTAGATGAAAAATGTTAGGCGAGCCCCGTACTTGAGGAAACACATTCTAAAAAATTCTTCTATCCGTCATTCGGTTGCCCCCTTACGAGCAACCCTCAGAAGTCTTCGAGAGTCTTGTGCGAGCAAGGAATGACGGGGGCCTTACCTTTTAACGTGTGATCCCAAACACTTTCTTGGGCCATCAGAAAAATTTCTGCAGTCGACGGGACTCGAACCCACGACCGGCAAGCGAATGCGGATTAGAATATGGACACTCTGTCCGCACGGCTGCCTGGCCCCCATACTTCATCAAGGTATTCGAAACCATGTTTCGGTGAGAGTTCCCATACGAACTCAGCATAAAAGTCAATTTTGGAAAATGATGATACGAGTGATTCATATCATTTGATTTCTTCGCGATTTCATTAGGAATTAAGAAGCATGCTTTCTTAAAAAAAGATAATGTACTTAAGGAAATCTTTTTGTACTTGAAATGAACCTCAGAAAGCACGATCTTTGCTAGAGAAAATATTTTGAAAATCGTACTGAATATATAATACAATTACCAATTCAAATGATATCACGAAATAGTATATACAGCTCGATAAACAGGCTGATTCACGGTGGATGGCACTAGACGTTTCTGGAGAACGCAACGTAGGATTCTACTGAAAATTCGGTTTCTTGGATAATTAGTTGTGTTCTATCGACCTAAAATATTCTCAACACTGCGACGTTGCCTCTTATAATGAAAAGTAGCAACATCTTTCATTTCTTGAATGGGACAGCCTATACAGTGTGACCCATTTAAAATGGAACCACCCCTGTATCTTACGTAATCGTTGGGTATGGATCCTAAAATTTTCTGGAGCGAGAGATATACCAAAAATGCATTCTATGACCAAGTGGGGTCATCTTCAGTGATATACACTGCTCGCCAACAGCCATGAAACCACCCCAATTTCCGGAAAATGATATTAGGAGTCAAAATAGGTTGAGAATCACGTCGGATTCGGAATCAGGACGCCCAAGTTACTAACTATTCAAAGTTTTCCTAGAAGATTTTCAGTTCAGTAAAATTAAAATTTGTCTCACTTCTCATGGAAGCACCCGTATCTCCCGTAATTATTGATGTTGGGTTCTGAAATTTGCCGGAGGAAGAGAAAGTCCAAAGATAAAGTCAATTACGTGAGAAACGGGGGTGCTTCCATAAAAAATGAGACAAAATTTCATTTTTCCGAACTGAAAATTTTCCAGGAAAAATTTGAATACTTAGTAAACTGGGCGTCCTGATTCCAAATCTGAACTGATTTTCGCCGGTTTTGACTCCTAATATCATTTTCCGGAAATTGGGGTAGTTTCATGACTGTTGGGGAGCAGTGTATATCACTGAAGATGACCCCACTTGGTCATAGAGTGCATTTTTGGTATATCTCTCGCTCCAGCAAATTTCAGGATCCTTACCCAACGATTACGTAAGATACAGGTGGTTCCATTTTAAATGGGTCACACTGTATATGATTCCATTTTCAGATTCTTCCTAAAGAGCTGATTTAATCGATCTATTACAGTGGGGGTCTAGCGGGCATGATAACAAAGATATAGGGTGTGAAAAATCGAGATTTTTCAACTCCAAAAATTTCTTGTTTCGAAACTATTCATAATTAGTTGAAACGATTTCTATGTCCCTGTCTCAACTTTTCATGTACTATCAATTGATATTTATTCGAAATAGATACAGGGTGGTTTGAAATTTTAATTCTGAACCACCCTGTACCTGTTTCAATTAAATTTTATTTGATAGTAAATAAAATGTTGAGATAGGGACATGAGAATCGTTTTGACCAATTATGGATAGTTTCGACACAACAAAATCCGAGACAAAATCTTAAAGTTGAAAAATCTCGATTTTTCACACCCTATATCTCTGTAATTATCACTGCTAGACTTCAAGTGTTATAGGTCAATGCAATTAGCTCTTCAGGAAGGATCTGAAAATGGAATAATATACACGGTGCCTCATTCAAAAATCAAAGTTGTTGCTACTTTTCAATATAAGCGGCAACGTCGCAGCGCTGAGAATATTTTAGGTCGATAGAGCACAACTACCACCAAATTTTCAGAAAAATCCCAAATTACGTTCTCCAGAAACGTCCAATGTGCCTTCCACCGTGAATCCTTCTGTATATGGTTGATATTAGAAAGAGGTAATTAAAAATAAGTATATATTTTTGATATTCGACTATTTGAACAAGATCGTTTGAATGAAATATAATATTAGTTGTAAATGATAAACGTATAAAATGCAAGCTTTTCATTTCGTAGTAAAATATTAGGTATCTGACAAACCTTGAGGAACTGATTTCGTGATGCTCTTCTCCATCGAAGTTATCGATATATATACAAGAAGAACGATACAAAAAAAAATCCCAGACGAAACAAACGAATGAAAATTTGTTGGAATAGCGCAGGAAATACATTATTCAATGGCTGGATTTTTCATTTATCACGATCTCCCGCTAGGATTTGCCAGTTGACGAAAGGGATTTCTTTTCTCCGAGAAAAACTTTTCATAACGGCAAAGGCGAGGATAGGATTCGCGTATGAGGGCTAAGGGTAGCGAAAACCTAGCGAAAATCTGCTATAGGAAATCTGTTTGATTTGGATTTCACGGCGATTGGAAACATAGAAAGAAAGCTATTACTGGAAAATCTGTGGGGTGCTTCGAGTCATATTGAAAAACTCTTATAAATTGAAAAGTATAAATTGTGCGAGGAGCATTCTTCGGAGCATCCATGGAAATGACGTTTGGCGAGATAGAAAGGAACTGACATAGAACATGATTGTATTCAAATCTTCTTCAGGTAACTACACACCACAAAAAATCTCCATGCAGTGGGAACCCTTTATCAGTGTTTTATAGTCTATGGTTTCGTGTAATAATCGCTTACAATTATACACGAGAGCTTTTTTTGTCGAAATAAACTTCATATAAATTTCATACCAACATTTTCAATGAATCAGATGCTTTATTTCGACATCGATTTCGAAAGTATAACTATGTTTAGCAGCTAATATTTTGGGTATTTTTCATCCACATGAGCATGTAGACGTGAAATTAATAAGTGGAAATTTCCTGGCACATGAAAGTTATCATATAATTAGACGTAATTGAAATAATTTTGACAATATTTTCTTTATTTTCCGGAAACCTAGTAAGAGAATCATATGAAATAAATTATTTTTATATTATATCATGTATATGATACTGTAAATTTCTCGGTAAATTTTGTTCTCGATTTTGTTTTACTAGGGTAAAGGAAGAGTAGATATTCACTTGATGTTTTCTCTTTGAATATAATTCCGGTATAACATTTTCTCACCTACATGAATTTTTAAAGAAAATAATCCCTCGTTGCTTCGCGACTCGTCATGAGTAGTTGAACTAAGATACCATGACTACACGCATTACTCTTAACTGAAACGCGGTCTGTGGGGGAGCAAGGAAGCGGGGAAGCGACACGTTTCCGTGACAAATTCGTGGCATTTCCGTGGCGTTCCTGTGTTTCGTGACGTTTTCGTGACATATCCGTGACAATTATTCCGTGGCATTTCCGTGACGAATCCGTGACGTTTCCGTGACGTATCCGTGTCTCGTGACGTTTCCGATAATTCATGTACTCAAGAAATTTCCGGCAATTATAGAGGTAACAGTACTCGAATTATGAATTTTAAGTTTACTTTGATCCCAAAAAAATGCTACAGTGTAATTCGGTAAGACAATTTAATGAATGCGTAAATCACCTTATTGTTTTCCCCACTCCAAATCGCGACATTTCTAGAGATTGGATACTATTCTGATAGCGCATCGAGATTGACGAAGATTGGCATGAACGCCATCAAAGATTTGTCCACATTTCTGGTTGTCATATGGTTTCAAAAGTTAGGTTCCGTTTTGCCGGTGTCATAATGACAAATCACAGAGGTTCATGAGATGTTTTTAAATGAATTATATTGTCACGAGTACTCTTTTTTGTGGACGTAAACTTGACATTTCAATGAAAATTTTTTTACCTGGAAATGAAACGAAAAATAGTGCCTTCGAAACAGTGACGAGTAATTTTTTCTGGCACTGTTTTTGAGTTGAATTTCTTAAAGGCGGTAACAGAATTCGAATAATCAATGTCAGGTTTATTACGACCCAAAGAATGCTTCAGTATAATTCGGTAAGAAAATTTCCCGACTCCAAATCGAGACATTTCCACAGATTATTTATATATATATAGGTACGATTTGGCAACGCGAGACTGAGAAAGATTGATGTGAACGCCATCAAAGAATCGTTCTCAATTCTGGTTTTCATGGTTCTTTTCGCTGTACTAATGACAAAATCACAGCGACTTTTGGGATTTTTTATACATTTGAGTTAAGTTGTCGTTGAAAATCAATGAACTGAAATCAATAGTATGAGTGTGTCAAGTGGTGCGTCCTTGAAGTCTTGCATAAGATAGGGTGAGTATTGTAAGTTTGATGCTGAAAATACTCTAGTGACTTCTTCTTCTCGCGAGGACCTATCAGAATTACTGCGATATTTTTTGTTACAAAAACATTGTCGAACTTGCTCTACTAATACAGATGCCGAATTGACTCACACGTGACCAACAATCTCGTTTTTCAGCGATAATTTTTTTTACGATTATTAGGTCAGCTATAATTAGCTCAATAATTAGTAATCAATTTTGATAGCACGGATTTCTGTATTATCAATGTCAATGTAGTATTCGAGAAAATTTGAAATAGCTATTATTCTTCAATGATTTTTGATTCAGTTACAATTATCGATTACTTTCCTCCTGAATAGGTTGACAGTAGTAATAATATTTAATGGAAATAATCAAACACGATCCTTTGCTATTCTATTTTTCAGCATTTTCCACTAACGTATGTCCTAAAAGTATAAAGGGT